GAGTCACTTTCTCACCTTGTTGCAAGGCCTGAAGAAAGTAAGCTTTGAAAGGAAGGAATCTTTTTTAAAAGCAGATGAGGAGGCATTTATGTTAACTTCTTTCCTCTACTTAGGCAATTTACTGAGGAATGATCTATACAGAGAAGTGCAAAGCAACTCTGACTGCTTGGCTTTGCTTATTTTGTCTTATCTCCTTAGATGTCAATGCATCAAAGAAGTTAGGGCTAAGATAAAGTGCCCTTCCAAGTAGTTCCTTGGCTCACATAGGAGTTTTTAGGTTCTTTATGATATTACATTTATCTTTATGAGAGAAAGTTCTCTCAGTCATGGTTAATCAACGCCTGGGATCCTAAACAGTCATAAACGTGTACCCATTATTTTGATTTGTGCTTCAGAATTGATTCTTGGTGAAGCAAAAGAGGGGGAAATACATGCTGACATAATATTGTTCTATTGCTACTTAAGTTATGTAATTCCTTAAACTTATTACTCAAATTCCTACCCTTTGTTGACATTAAGTAACAGTAATGTTTGCAGATGGTTAGGGCTTCTGTACGTTACCATTACCATTTCCACACTCACAGGATGCACTTGTATGATATATGTGAGGATACAGTGAAAGTACTCAGAAGTTTACAGTCTAATAGAAACAAAAAAATACTTGCGGAGGGGGAAAATAAAATTCCACAACTGCAATCTGGCAATTTTTTTTGGAGTTTAGAAGTCATTCCTGTTTGCAACTGCTACTTCTCATGTGCTGTGATGAACCAACTAACTCTGTGTAGTCCTCGTGGTAAAAATGGATTTTTAGCAACAACATACAACAGAAAAATCAGTCTTTCTGCAGAAAAGCTAGTCTTTCATCATGTTCAAGAAAACGAATTTTTTCTTGCCATAAGATGAGGACAGCTGTGGAAGGCAGACTAACTTCATGGAGCAGCAGAGGTAGAAGCAAAGCAACCATCCAGTTTGAAGCAAGACAGGTCAGGCAGCCTCATTTTTCTGCTGCTCCTGCCCATCCCTGCCTTAAATCCTCACCTGCAATTAGAGATGACATGTCCTAATCCTCTTCATACAAGCTATCAGAGGATTGTAACTTCATATGGGAGATACCAGGGGAAGAAAAACTCAGAACAAAAATCCTTCTTTCTTACAAAAGCATTCAATAACAAAGAAGGAAGAACTAAAAATAAAAAGCAGATAGACTGCATGGGAAAGTTTGTTTTGAATGAAATAACTTCAGAAAAACAACTGGGCTTTCAATTTATTGCTGTTCCTTTGTGGATTGCGATCTTGTTTGAGGGTGCAATTTATGCCTGCAAAATTAATTTCATACAAAAGTAGTCGTACCTGTGAGTAGATGTTATCCTCTTTAGGTAATAAAAGAAATAATGAAAATAATCAGATTTGCTTATAGAATTGAATGGTGGCTTCAAAATTGTCAACAAAGATTACTCACAAGACATTCCTACATATTTAACCCTTCACTTACTGTTCACATTCATTTTTGCTGCCACCTTTTTCACAATCGGATAGCAAATATTTATTTTCATTTCATGGCAATGAACATTTGAAAGGAATCACTTATTTACACACAGATAATACGTAATATTATGCTTCAATATTATGTAATATCAGCTTCAAGCCCAGAAATATTTATTGTGGTCAGAAAAATTATCTTTTTTTATCACCATTATTATGCTTATGCCAAGTAAACACATTTTGAGCATATTTCTTTTTCTTTCATTTGTGGCAGGGAATTTTTGACATTTGAGCACAGGCTCTTCCTTCCTATTTTATGCATTTGCCCTCTGGTCATTGTCAACCCCTGCAGTCTGAATAACAAATTCCTCTTTATTGCACTGTCAGTGTGCTGTCATTACTGTGGACTTTTTCTTCTCCTGGAAGGCTGTTTTGTAAGATATTTTTTAAAAGATATGCTACATATGTGTTCAGGATTTATAGGACTGTACTGATCCGTCATTTTCTGGCACATCCGATGCAGTCACTGTAAATCTAATGAAAAAAGAGAATTCTCATCCAACTATGTACATCGAGACATTTGGGGAAATATTATCTACTTCTAACTCCTTTCCCCTTTTACACAGGAAACACAAACTCAGCTCAAGATCGCAGATTGATTTCTCTTCGCCTTTGCAGTAAGGCTGTCATTTTCTTTATGCCACCTCCAGTTCCTGCTGGCTTTTGAGAAAACAAAAAATTGTGTGTGTGTGATTCTGAACCTAGGTCTTCTGCACTTTAGCAAATGGTGCTGCCAGTTGAGCTTTTAAAACAGCTGTCAGATTCAAGTAAAGCTGTTTGGTTTTTTTTCCCATAATTATCTCAGCACAAGATACCATTTAAAAAGTCTTATTAAGCATCCTCCACATGGTAAGAAAGTCACTTTTAGTCTTGTCATGGAATTACTGCAGATGCTATTTTCAACTACAAAAAAAGCTTGCCTTCATATTCCACACATTTCACAAGGCTTTTTCCACTGCTTTCCACAAAGCCCTCATAATATCAATGTCTTTGATAGGAAAGAGGACTGGAATTGATAGTTCTGCTTTTTGCCTACTGGCAGACTTTGACCTGACATAATAAATATTCAGACTTGAAGCAAGAGAACTCTGAGGCTTGAGAAGTGACGGAAGCAATAAATATGCTTCAGAGTTGGACTCAGGTCCAGAATTACTTCTGCTGGACTACTTTCCTAAAGGTAGTTGCCACCACACATAAACTGAGATTATTGGGATTTTGAGCAGACAAAATGATTTTATATTGTGTAAAAAGAGGTTTATTTCTGTTTAGAAATATTAAGTCCCGATAGGTACAACATAACCCTCTGCATCCGTTAAAATCTTGGCTTCTCTTTATTAAACAAAATAGTGAGTTCATATGATTTCGGGTGATTTCCTAATTTTTCCCTTTACCCGGGGATGTTCTACCACAGCAAAAATTACCCTGGTTGTAAATTACTTAGCAATGATTCCAAAAGTCCTTATTTCTGCAGTTTTGTAAAATCTCAGTTTATAGGAATCACTATTCTAAAACCAGCCTCAGTTACTGATTGAACATTACTCTTTTTTTTGTGTTTATGTTCTTAGAAAGCTAAAAGAAAGCACGATCCCATATGAATTTTACCTGCTGGCTATGGAGGATTCTCCTTGGAGATGTCTGTTCAGTTCCCGCGCTGAACCTCTAGGCCCAGGGTATTTACATTTTAATTAGGCTGAAAATGATGGGAGGTAAAACAGCTTCATCCATATTGCTGTATCATCAACAAGGACTCCCACATCCATCCTCCCTTCCCATCCAGACAAGGTTTTCATAAGGGCTTGTAGGCAGTTTGCAAATCTGCCTGTGCAGAATGCGCGGCAGGACCCCAAGCTAGATATCAAGGTGCAAAGAGTGATCTAAGCACCCAGGTGACCTTCCAGTCCCCTTCAAGAGGACACTCTCTCCCCATTCGCACAAGAATGAGGTCATTTGATGGCTTGCCAATGGGGAAATTCTTGACGGCATGAGCACATATGTTGCAGAAATATTCCTTTTTGCATTAGAGGACCAGGAGAGAAAAAGGGAGCACAATACACAGTTGTGATAAAGAGGATGAAAATATGAAGATGGAGAAGCTGGAAGGCAAGGAGGATGGGAAAAGGATAGACTGTAAATGGAAGGCATGTACTGAAAGGACTTAGAGTTTGACAAGAAACAGAGTCTCTCCCTATCTTCCTAGAAGAGCCAAACGAAATCTCTGAGCTATGTAGTTGCTTCCTAGACATTCCGATACGTATAATTTCTTATCTTGGAATGAAACATAGCACACAAGATCTCAAACAGGGACTAAAACCAGCTTCCCCCCCCCCATTCCTTAAGACAGAAATCCCTTTGAGTATTTTTAGATTTTTTAAAGTTATCCCAGTTCTTGTAAACTCTTGCATTCTCATACAGAACATAGTTTTGTATGATGGAATGTGTTGAGGGAAGAGGATGCAGGCAATGGTTATGCTGAAACCTCCAAGCAAAATCAAGCAAGAGGGCTATTCTGCCTCTGCCTCAATCAGTTGTTGCTGATCATCGGTTGGATGCTTAATGAGATACAGCTAAGTACATTATTTCTCATGTCTTTAGAGCTGCATATTGCCGTAGTAGGTCATGCTGGTCACTCTACCTTCTGTCCTTCCTAGCCTTGCATAGAGATAGAGAAATCTGCATTGCAAAGGAGGGGAGGCAAGGAGAGAGAGCATGAGTGCTTGTTTTACTATTTAAATTCTATTTTTGCTGCCAGTAAGTTAGATTTTGAAGGTTAATGCTCTGTACAGAGAAGGAAACTTATTTTTGAAAAATGTTAAGTCTCGTGTCTACCAGTGGCATGGGTGCAGAAATACTAACAGCATTAACTTTTCCATGTTTTTTTCAATACACACAGGATTGATGTTATAATTCATGATTTGCTGGGTGTCTTGCTGGCCATTGCTCTTCCTCTAGCAACAGTGAAACCCAGGCTTCCTGAAGTTGTGCTGACAACATCAACAAACCATGTCACTGACTATCCTAGCACCTAGGCCATAATATCATGTAGATGTTACAACAAATAGGCCTGTAACCATCCTCAAAACCTGCCCCAGACAGCTTTGAGCTGTAAGAGAACTCATCTGGTACCAAGTCACAGCCAAATATTAATAGAATTATATTCTGGATAAATTACCACATTATTCGATAATACGTGAAAAATCATTAGGTTTTATCTTTTTTTCCAGGAAATCAATGATCTTTCCTTATTTCTTTTCTCACTTTGTCTTCTTTTTGTTCATTTTTCTCTGCAGTAAATAGGAGTTGACTATTAGCACCTGACAGATGCTCTCAGGTGCTAATAGCATGAGATACACTAAATCTGCTGGTTTAGCTACACAGCACAGACTTCTTTCTCCTCCTGTTTCTTTTACTGACCATTGATCTTCAGAAAAGTCCAAGGCTGACTCTTTGCTTTCTCACAGGTTTTCACAGTATCTGGTGTTGCAAAGGGTGGTTTTCCTACTTCCAGATCAATCCCCAGACTTTCTGGCACAGAGGCATCTTTTCCAAGGCACAGGAAATGGTGAGTTGCTTTCTACCCTCGTATGTAGAGACTCTCCATGTGTGTTTGTGCAGGATATACCCAATTTAAAGGAAATTAGATTCATTAAGTTGGGTCATCCATAGGGGTTCTGCAAAGCATGTTGAACAGAGAGTTTTGCTGAGCTCTGTGAGACTGACCTTTCTGTGAAGTAGTGCAGGAGAAAGAGAGAAAAGTCTGCACTGTGAAAAGCCTAAAGCAATAGAGGAGGCAAACATAGCCAGGTAAGGGTTGACCTATAGGGTTATTGCAGACTTAACTGGGTCATCTGAGTACACACAGCGCAACGGAAAGCTGCAGACCAGCCAGGGAAATGATGTGAAAAAGGACAATTAGTTTAAAGAAAGGAGGGCAGTTGCCAATGGAGGGACAATTGAATAAACTGAGAACATCCAGCACAGTCTAAGTGGTTCAGGTGCTACAGGAGAAGCTTAGTTTGCAGTCCTAGATCTGACCGACCTTCTCCACGGCCTTGGACATTTAGACACTCAACATCCACTTCAACTGAGGGGAAAAAAACAACGGTGGCAATATAACGCTTCATTTCACAGATATATTTTAAAGACTTAACCTTTGTAAGACATTTCGAAGATGAAAAGCACAGCAGCACTCATTACTTTGCTTAACCAAATTTCTCTGTGCCTAGCTGAACCTAAAATCTTTTGATGTTAGCTCATCACAAAGATATTTTGTGAGATTTTTTTCTCGCTTTTATGTTGGCCTGTGGCCATTTCATGCCACTATATGCTTGTTTTTATTTCTGCTTTTGCTATGTGTAGTCTCTCAAAGAAGTTACTTTTCCCATAGCACATAAATGTAGGTTTTTTAACAACATGAAAGATGAAATATCCAAATTCTTGTTTCCCATAATGATAACATTTCATAAAGCATTTACAGCTGGTTTGAATACAAAAATATTTAAAAACAGAAGGGTAAAAGTTCCTGCAACACTATCAGGAGACAAGACTGTCATTCAATATTGACATGTCTGGATAATAAAAAAAGAAGAAAGAAATTAAAATCTTCAGCAGTCAATTGCCCATGCAAACGCACACGAAGTATGATTGCTCATAAGCAGACTTGAAAATTGCACATACTGAGAGGGAGTAGAACAATGTGCCACTGTTGGACATTTGAAGACATTCTTCCTAGGATATTTAATCTCATTACTTTTTTTGCTAGAGGAAGAAAAAACGCCTCAAAGTTGATGTTTTCACATGTTATAGTACTCCTTTCTCTCGCTTTTATCTACACAAGTTCAGAGTCCTAGCTTCTCAGGATTGTGTCCGCACTCTTGGTATCTGAAAGATCTGGCAAGGTGTGCTTTCAAAGTGTTACTTTACAGTGAAAGAGGCAAAGACAAGGTTGCTGTGCTTGTAATAAAAGAGTAATTAAAAAGTGTCACTGGGTAACTGAAAAAAATGATGAAAATAATAAAGTCATCTAATTGTTTCATGGTGATCTTAATGAGACATTCAGATTTTAGTGAAAAAATTGGTCAGAATACAGGCCAACTGCAGCCTTTGCAAGTCTTTCCTGCTGCCATGAAAAACATGTACAGAAAGACAACTTTATACTTCTAAGTTGGATTTCAGCTTGGCAGGAATTCCTCCAACTGCCAAATTAGAGGATGAACGAATCAGATACTGGAAGTGTATGCTGAATGGGAGCTCTTCTGATCTATGACCTCACCCCATTGCTGCTTAATTTAGCTTTTAAAAAGGTGATTAAAGAATGCATGGAAAATCAGGACAAATTCATTGTATATCTGTAATGAGACTCACGTAACAAGACAAAATAACTGTCAAGGCTTCAGGAAGACAGCAAGGTAGATAATAGTCTTTGTCTCTAACAGAGTTTTAGGCTGGGAGTTGTGTGCTAAACTGCATGAAATGCGTGCTCTGGTCCATCCTGGGTTCAGCTTTGAAAGTCAGCAGCATCTGAACTGAATGCAGGTAGGGGGTTAATGCCTCTCAGCACAGCTGTGCTCATCATACCGAAAAGGATGAATTTTAGACTGTGTCTGGGCAGTTCGTCAGATTCAGGTGCGGGGAATGTTTGGTTTGAAAGCTTCTCTCTGCTTTCCTCTTACCATTTTTAAAACCTACTTTCTTCTTACTATTTGTTGTTTTGCATCTAGCACAAGAGAAATTTTGGCTATTGATTAATTCTATTATAATGCCTGAGTTGACATTATAGAGAGAAATTACCTGGTGGGAGAAGATGGAAGTATAAAAAGGCCTTTTTTTCTTTTTTTTTTTTGATGGCAGTGGGTTTGCTGGCTGCACGCTAGTTTCCAAAAGACAATGACAGACTGGCAGCTTAAAGAAAACAGGTCTTGACAGCCCGCTTTAGCGCACCGAAAAGTTTTGTAACAGTTTGTGTCATATAAAGCACTTTCATACCATCTGTGATCCAGCAGGAAAGGGTTGCTCTGTCCCAGGCAGAACCTTTTCTCTTTGCATAGTCACAGGAGTGGATGGAGCCAGGTAGCAGAATTGTAAGAGTTGTCTCTGGCTGGATGTATGCGGAGCGTCAGCTTCTCCCGTAAGCCCTCTCTGTATTCCTGTCAAGAGCAGCAGCACAGCCCAGCAGACAGGCAGGGATGCAGACAAGTATCAGGCTCGTACCACTGTTATGTTAGTGCCCCTTTTTTTTTGTTTTAATACTGAGCTGACTTGCTGAGGAAAAGAAATAACATAAGCAAAGGTGGAAAAGGGAATGCAACCGAAAGGTGAGCATGTGTCTCATTAGTGCTTACTATGCGAGTTCCTTACGTTCTGGAGAAGGTAAAAATATTTTAATGAGGAAAACAGCACCTTTTCAAATTTTTCTTTTTAAAAAAGGCTTTATAAGGGAAACCTATTTCTAAGATAAACATAGGTAACACATGCACTACCTGCAACTTCAGTAGAAACCTTCAGGGAAATCAGAAAGCAGAGTACCTTGATTACATTAAATTGACTTCTTCAAACAGTGGTGGTTTTCATTATTAAATAATTGTATGTTTTTAGTATTGGGAGAAGGGATATAATGAATACTAATACTTACTAAGTAAAATAAAGGAGTATTTCCTATAGAACTATCAGTTCCAGGGTTTTTGTGCTAGCAAAGTCCTGTATGCCTATGGCAATGTAAAAGTAACTGAGTTGCCAAAATTTTCTTTGATTTCTCAGAATTGAAAAAAAAAACAGAGAACGATCTCTGAAAAGAGAAAACAGGCCCTCCCATACAGTAAGCCCTAAATGCAGTCTCTGCTTTCAGTATTGTCCACTTAGAGGCTCAATACTTTTTCTCATTCTCATTACTATTTCATGGGTTTTTCTTATTTTAATGAATTTCTGTGCTCAGGCACATAGTTATTTTCTGGCTATCTTGCTTCATTATTCTGATGGAAGCAGTCTTTTAATTTAAAACATTATTATTAAAAATAATACATGAAAGGCTTATCTGAAAGATATATTGTTTTGGCAATAGATGTGAATCAAAATGCAACTGTCTAGATACTTAATTATATATTTTAATGGAAGACTTTGAGTAAAGCTTAGGCACAAAGTAGAAAAGTACTTATCATCATTTATCATTTAAATTACCAGCGTAGTTGTAGACTATTAATATGTTTCTTATACCTCAATAAGGTCGAGACTGAAGCTAGTTCAATGGACTGCAGTTAGCTTTTGATGTCTCTGTCCTTGGAATACATTGCCACAGCAGTTCTCCAAAAAGACAAGCTATTCTTGCATCTTTTCTCCAACGCATTAAGCACTAGCATCTTTCAGCATCAGGAAGGCTTTTATTATGCCACTTCCTCTTTTGAAATTCACATAAATATTCACCATCTATTTGCCCTTGAATGTACTCCAAACTTGTTTTTTTCCTTTGTGATCTTACAGGGTACTCAATATCACTTATGCTAAGGGTGGTCCATAAGAATGTGTGCTAAATAATGCCTTCTCTGGGACATACATCATATACTAAGCTGTCTAGATTATATTTGATTTTATTTTTAGTTTTGGAACTTGCAGGGTTGTTTTTTTCTCAGCTCAATACAAACAACTGACTGTAGTTTACTGAGAATCCTGAAGTTTACCAAACAGTGGTTAGAGCATCCTGGAGGCTCATGATGACCAACAAACTCACCTGATACCAGTTCATCTTTACCTCAGCTGAGGATATGAGATGGAGTTTAATCTCTGCAGTGCTCCATGTAACTCAACCCTTGGCTCTTTCTTCAGAGCTGGTCTGTTCTTTACTGCCCAATCTCCTGGCAGCCGCCTCTTATCCAGACACCTTTGCGATGTTGCAGAGATCTCTGTAAGGCTGCAATCTGGGACAATGCATCCTGAATGTTTATGAAGGCAGAAAATCATTTGGGCTCACAGAATCTTCTAAAATATGCAAGAAGACTCTCTGGTACCTTAGTCCTTCCCAAAGGGCAGTATAATGCAGATTTGAAGCACCAGCCTATCAAGGTCTCATGTTGCTGCCTGTGTAAAGTGTGCAAGCATCCTCTGAAACCTCAAGGTCATGAAGTATTTCACTTCCCTCCACAAGCACCTCCAGCAAGACAGAGACATAAGCTTATCATCTTGCTGTACAACTGATTCACATCTAATACACAGAGGGATGCTTGTGTGTTTTTTAACTGATTTAGTATTTGACCACTGTTACTTGCCTGCTGGCCATCTTTTTGTTTTGTAGCAGTCTGCCAGCTGAAAACTAGATGTTTTTAACATAGATGTTCACACAGAAAGTCACCATATAAATACTAGCAATTCCCTATTTGTAGATAGCTCAACTAAAACAATTCCTGGAGTTTGCAGACAGAAACAATGCCAGTAGGTATATGTTTTTTCTCAGCAACGTTTTGGCCATCTGGTTTCTTCTCTGATCTCTGTACCCTCACTCCATGAACATATGCACTAACCTAGTCTTTTGACACCTTAACAAGGAGTCATCATGACAGATAAAAGACAGGATTT